AACGTTTCGTAACCCTCAGTGTGCCTTTTGCTATGGGATTGAGCTCGTGGATTTAGAAATTTCCGTGCGAGATGACAACCTTGATCCGCCTGATTCAATAATAAAACCCCCTGACTTGACGATTCAGTTTAAATTTATCAAAGTAGTAGACCAACCGAAAAGATCAGAAGATCGTCCCACCAACTATGTTCACGATGAAGCATGTGGAAATTTTTCAAAAAATTTCAATAAAACCAGAGAAATTTTAAGAAAAAATAAATTTCTTCAGCATCTCAGCTTTATTGGGTCAGTGGTGTCCATCGTTTCGCTGGTTTTACTGTTAGTGGCTTACGTCTTATTTGCTGAGCTCCGTAACTTACCTGGGAAAATTATGTTAAATTTGACGATCTCTCTGTTGCTGTATGAAAGTGTATTCCTCTCAGCTGGCAAAAAGGACCATCAGTTGGTCTGTCTTGTAGTCGCAGTTCTTTTTCACCTCTTCGCCCTCTCTTCCTTTACGTGGATGAACGTCATGGCATATGATGTGCATCGCACTTTCACAGAAGTCTCGGGTAAGTTGACATTTTTAATTAGTGATTTAGGATCGTTATCAATCTAGAACTTTGTTTAGATATTCTGTCTAAATCTTAGAAATCTCTTCGTTACAGAAATGCATCTCTGATATACACGATTCATGAAAAGGGTAGCGACTGTTGATTGTGGTGAATCTACTTGTAATGAAGAGTAAATTTTTGTATCACAATTTAGTAAATTCTAGTGTTGATCACAATCTCGACTGCATACTGCTTTATTCATGATTCAGTTTATCTGATTTAAGGACTTGTGGAGGCACTTCGCACAGAATCCATGTCAACAAAAATACTTCAGAGAACTATCACTTAAGATTTTGTAAACTTTAGTCACTCATTATTATTCCAATTAGGTCCGGCGGCAAACCGACGAGAGGACCTCAAAATACGTTTGATGTGTTATTCCCTGTACGCCTGGGAAGGCCCTGCTATTGTAGTCCTTTCCTGTGTTACAGTTGACCAGCTTAAGGAAGGAGCGATAGGATACGGTTAGTATCTATCATAAAACGGTGTGTTAAGTGCTTGTCATTGAACCACGAGAAAAACATAGTTGACTTTCAGCGATGTTGATATGGCAAAATACCTCAACTAATTCCATATGTTGCTGACTAAACAGGCCTTGGAAAAGAGAACTGTTTCATATCAGAAAAAAAAGCAAAGATCTTCTCATTCATTTTGCCTGTTGGACTGATTCTGATTTTCAACCTCTTTGCTCTGGGACACACAAGCTTTCATATCGTCAGAACTCGAAAGGTGGGTACAATATCTCGATGCTTTTTTTAAACTAAGGACATCAAAATTCCACTGTCGAAGTGTCTGTCTCCGCGCTTTGCCTCGTTACCTATTGCTCCGAACGGCTTGCATGACCAAGAGAACGCCGAAAACAAATCTGAACTTTAAAAGCAGGTTTATTCACATTTTGATCATTTTAGAGGGCCAGACAAGTGACTAAGCAACAACAAAGCTCTAACGTGGCTTTGATCTGTGTTAAAATGGCCTCAGTGATGGGTGTGACATGGATCCTTGGGATTGCTGCGAACCTACAGGCTCTTTCATTCCTTTGGTACCCGTACGTTGTTCTAAACAGCCTTCAAGGTAAGTACCCCTCAGGGTAACAAAGCTGGTTTGGGTCGGAGAAAGGATGGAACGCTTTCTTGATTGGAATCACCAGAAATAAGTATTCAGATGTGTTAGCTGATCATTGTGATAATTGTTGGTTGATCATAATAAATAGTTACTATGGCAATTATAGTAAAATCTGTTTCGATTGATGTAACGAAGCTATTACTTACTCCTAGATAAGAGTATGCAATATATTCAGATTTCCTTGCATTTCGCAGTGTTTTCCATCGAATGATTACGATATAGCCTTTTCCTTGGTTAAGTTATTTAACATGACTTGATTGGCACCAGAACTCTATGAGGATGAATTACTAAACATGACGTCTTTTCAAGAGATTCTACTTTTAACAGTTAAATTATTTGCCTTTCTCCAAGGTTTCTTTATCTTCCTGTCCTTTGCTGCAACTGGGAAGGCGTTGGAGTTGTACAAAAGCAATTTTTTCAAAATCCTTAGGAAACAAGCACCACAGAAAAAATGAAGAAAGAATGGGAAACTTGAACCCCAGGGAGCAATTCACCAGTAATAAAGTTAGCAAATAGAAGTATATAACGAGAGTAACATTAGCCAGCTTTCAATTGTACAAAAAAACTCGTGGCCGCTACAATAAATGGCCATCGAAATAAAATAGCACTAGTAATAGAAAGAATGATAAAATTGAAATAGAATATGAAGCTATGCATTTTGAAAAATATAAAACTGATGATACGTATATTTACCATAAAACACGAGTGCGCGTTGGATATGAGTTGGCTATAACCTATCTCGAATGAATAATTATTTTATTAGATTTCATTAAGTCCTTAATGTTTGGATACTTACAGCCATTTTTCGGCTCTGCAACAGTTGGCGAATGCATTTCCTGATAACCTGCTTATAGAGAACCAATCAGAACACTAGAAATGCAATATTCAGAGGTGAAACTTTGATTACTAAAAATTATTAAAAACTATGTCAAAGTAATTTACATTAAGAGAGTTCTCAAGCATTTGATTGTCTAGAATTGATTTAAAAAGTGAACGCTTAAAAGTTTTTGCGCTTCTACTCTGTTTCAGGTCCACATCTAACATGTTCCATTTCTTGACTGCTCTTACAGAGAATGTCCGACCACCTTCTTTTTCATTGTATTCTAATAACATTCTTATGATCCCCCTCATTGGCAGTCGATTTGACAGTCAATTCTATAGTACCCCCTTTATTCTCCATTGTCAACGACAGCTCGTCCCTTCTTTCCTCCTAAAAGTCATGTGATTCCTCCTGAAATAAGTCTAGGTACTGGACCCTAAGATGTATTGATTTTTATGTGATTCTACTGACGACAATTAAATCAATGGGAAAAACCAGTGAAAGAAGGGAAAAACAAAATAGAACACTTTATCTGAAAGTGTTTTTCTAAGTGAGGATACAGTTTCTTTGATTCTAATTTTTCATGATCGCGTCTCAAGAAGGCTTGAAAATGGTCAAAACAATTACCTGGAGGTTGAGCATCTTTCGAAAAGAAAAGATTACAGCCACCAAAAGAACATTTAAAAAGTTTATGAAAGTTCTATTGAAAGAAATTTTACAGCCCTGATACGATGCGATTATAGTTGGAATACTACATCTTAACTGCATTAGTACTTTTTAGTGTTTAAAATCCACTGTAGTATTTGAAAATGCAATGTAAACTTAGCTTATTTGTATGCAGAGAACAATTTTTTTCAATAATTCTTTTTCAAGCGACAGAACATTCGGGAAGAAAGTTCATTGCGACTATTTTTAGGTTTTCCAACTTTTAAGTTATGCAGAGGATGATTACCTGTTGTGTTCTAAACCGATTATCAGAAGACGAAGTGATTGGTTATGGTTAACATATGATTTGTTACGACTCTGCTCCGAGTTTTGAATTATACATCTATATTTTCTTACTGAAAAATTTGAGACTTCAATAGACATGAAGGACAACTGACGATGATTTCGTACCCCAGGAGTTTGCTGCGGTACAAACGTAAAAGCCGTTGCCTTGTGTAGTGGTATTTAGTATGGTGAGATTTCCTTTACTAACCATGGTCCTTGCGCTTGAAAGAATTCCATCAGACCTTTTCCATATTATCCTGTCTGGTTTAGGATTACCTGTCACTTTACACATTGCAGTAATGTTCCTAAACTCTACAGTTTCAGTTATGTCGGGAATAACTTGCACCAAATGCGGTCCTAGAACACCAAAATGATAATAAGCCATTTATTGCAGTTTGGCAGAGAAAACTTAAAGTATAACAATATGTAGGAAAACTATCGATGAGTATGGTGCCAGGGAATGTCTATAAAAGGGTCAGAGACCCCATACAAGATAGACCACCCTTCTAATATCTATAATTACACTACAATGGAAAGTATATAATTACACCAGGATAGAAACACCAGTCCAAATATAATTAAATAGATAATATATAATTATGATAATATATAGGATTACAATAAAACATAATATTTGGCAAAATTCACTGGCGCCTGATCAGAATATCCCTGACACTCCTCTTAAGAAATATCAATACAAGGTGCCTGACGAACTTAGTATTGCAGGGAATTCCACATGTCTACAATCCTGTTAAAGAAGCTATATTTAAAAGTATTAGTTCTTCTATAGTTCTTCTTAAGTATACACTCATCTTTTTCTTCGTAGCATGTATTCGGATTCTATGAAAAACTGGGCATAACTGGATAAGTTAATGTTTATATGGCCATTTAAAGCTTTGTAAAGGAATAAAACATCAAGCAAAAACCTCCTTTGTTCTAAGGATTGCAAGTTGAGCTTTTCTCTTTGCTGGCATTCATCAGTGGTTTTCAGAATAAATTTAGCTGCTCAACGCTGTATTCGTTCCAACTTCATTATATTTTTTGCTTGTTATGGGACCACACGACAGAGCAAAACTCCACTTTGGACCTAACTGGAATTCCATGGGAATAACGTAAATAGTCTCATTAGTGTATCGATCAAGACTATCCTCTATTTTATTCAAGATCTGATAGCAACTGTCGTCCTAAGGCGAAGAATTTTATGCAGTCAGTTCCATTTTACGTTAGACCAGTCGATCACTATAGGCAAGGGGAAATAAGAGGTCTTCTACAGGAATTTTATGTCCATACCAGCGATTTAAGACCACAAAAGCCATTTAAGACTTCATTAAAAATCGTTAAAAATATACCTTATATCTTAAAAATTTCTCATTTATTTAAATTCAAGGATCATCCAAACTTACGACTTCTCAGAGAAACGTGCATGATTATTGTCAATGATAACGCCAATGCACCCCAGAAGCTCAATTGATTATGTTATTTCAGGCACGGATACCTGTAAGTACATGTGTGATCTAAAATCAATCATACCTTCGGTGCAGTTTTCTCCCAGTAGTCCATTTGCGCAAACACAACGATAACCCTTCCTGGTGAACCCAGTTTGGCATCGCTTTGTTGATGGACAAAGCATACTGGAACAGCGGTTCTGCGAAGATATGAAAATATTTATAGAATCTTTTGCTCCAGTACCCAGCTTCTTACCTTCGTCCAGCTAATTCATCCATACCGATTCACCCCTTTTTTACATTAATAAATTTCAAGATGCACGCATACATCTATCAACTCACACATGTACGAATGCATGCATGCATTCATGTATTCATCTATCCTAAGCATCCTCTTTTCCTTCTACAGGAAAGAAAGTTTGAACGTATGGTGTTCAAAAAAATTCAAATATCTCTTATTGTGATTTGATTTGATTTTATCTTTTCGTTCATTTAAGATACATGATAATTTCATCGACGAAAACTTAACGGAATTACTAATGAGAATAAGTCATTTCACCTTAAATGATTTGTAAACAGTCCCTTCTTTGTATCTTAGATCCTGTCGATTATTTGCGTGAGCTGAATCACTCAATTCGCACAAAAGTTTTCCATTCTGTTGTGGTTTTAGATTGTAGGAAACACAGTCAGCTTCCATGAAGCAATTCACTTCACATGCGCTGGCTGTCTCAATCTCCATCATTTTGAAAACGTGTTTCTCGAGAATGAAGTCCTGCTTTGCGGGGTTCATCTCCACTTTCCGACGGTGTTCTAAAAATTAAGCAAAGAGAAAGTATAGTTTATGTATCTAGAAGAGCAACCTATTCTTGCTAGCAGGCTTAATAATCATTCATCTTGTGAAACTTTAAATTCACTGAACGAAAAAACGGATTTACACCATATTTGCGCAGTGAAAATGTGAGCAAATCTGGTCCAAAACTGTAGCAAATGTGGTGCAAATGGGGTAAATGCCACATTTGCACCACGATTTGCAACCCCGGTGCAAATCTAAAGCAAATGTAGCATTTACCCCATTTGCACCACATTTGCGACGGCTTTGGACCAGATTTGCTGACATTTTGTACTGCGCAAATGGTGTAAATCTGTTCATTTTCATATAATAATATTTGAGACTTAAAAAGTTAATTTCCATAAAGCTTAAACTATTACTTCCGTCTTGATATTTTGATGTTGGATGAACACTTGTTCCGGAAAAAATCGTTGCAGCAATTCAGTGAGGTGAACGATAGAAGCTATGTTCTTAGCGATTTTGATCGATGATTTTTAATCCGGTCAAATCGCAGAAGTTACCCTATTGAAGCCAGCACTAGCGTGAGTGAGTATTTCAAATAAAGAGTTCAAAAGAAAAGAAAAGAAAGGTTTAAAGAATTTATTTAATAAAATTTACGCCTGTGAATATGCAAGCGATCTTCGCAGTTATGAGCAGTACTTCCCATGCAGGCTCCAATTTTTTTAGCCTTTATTTTTCACTTCTGTTTAAGTAGTTTTCGTGTTTCGTATTCATTTCTATATCCGCAGTTTGCATATATGATTTTCATATATTTACGATCAAAAGTTACGCCAGATGGCTGTAATACTCACCTTGCTCCTCACTGCTGCAAATACCAACCAGAAATGAAAAAAGTGAGAATCCTGATTTCATCGCTAACTTGTCTGTCTTCTTTGTTACTTTACGAGCAAGATGGCTAATTAAAGAGTAATATCAGCTTTCTTTTTTGTTTTGCGACAAAAAAAAAAGTTTCAATTTTTGATGGAACAGTATTGGACGAACAATAGGCGATGACATAGCGGTTACATAATTACATTTGATACGGCAAAACGGTCAAGGCGGATGAAAAGATTTAGATATCAATTTAGAGAGGTTTTTCTATTTCTCGAAACTGCAGACCGT